ATGCCTTTGTTCTAAAAATATTAAAAATAATTTTGATGATGAAGATAAAAGGAAAGCGAATGTTATTATTGATCTATTTAAATTAAAATTACTAATCAATCAGGAATAATTTATTTAGAAATATTACAATCTTTATTTCTTCGTAGGTTTTCTGAGCTTGTTTCTTTTATTTTCTTTACCTCAAGAAAACGAAGATGTCAGTTGATATGAATCGAGTTTTGTTTTCAGGTTTACGATTAAAATGTTTTCTTTTTCAGAGAATTGACTATTTTTTCTTTTCTTCATTTCTTTTTTTGTAAGTCACTTCTACAGATACAAACATTAGCCAGAATTAAGTAAAATGATGTAAATGTCCGTTTACATTACTTTTTAGTTTTTAATCTCAAAATTAAGACCATTTTATTTTGAATTCCGATCGTTTTTGCTTTAGTGTTTTTAGTTTATTTATTTAATGAAATCGTAATTTTAGCGAAATATTTAAATTGATTTATCAATAAATATACACACAAATAAGAAAACGTTGTAACAATTAACTGAATTTTTTACTTATTTAAAATTTAAAAAAAAATGCTAACGATTATTAGTTTCTCGTTTCACATGGTTGCGGTTCAAATAGCCTCGAATTGTCGTAAAATTAATATTCGATATAAAATACACATTTTTTGTTAATTGTTTTAACGAAAGGCATAAAAATATATATTATTTTCAGTCTTTTAGTAAAATTACTGTTGAATGTTAATCATTTTTAATTTTTACCATCTATTGGTCCTACCAATACTTTTAGTTTTTTCTAACTCGAATTAAAATAGATTTTCGACATAGTGCATCTACATAAATTCCTGATTACAGTGACTATCTATAATACATGTACCACCCAGTAAGATATAAAAATATGTGTTTTGATTAATGTCATTTTATTTGATGGTTGGCAATATATCTCGTATAACTGTTTTTTTGTTTTGTTTTTTTACAAAATTTAAAAAATCGTTATTTTTCTGTGTACATTGTTTATGTTTTTTTGCCTATATTTTATCGAACATAGGTAGGTGATACCTTTTGCATTTTTAAAGAAGAAAAACACTGCTCTTTTTAAAATTATATACTATATAGATTCTTATTATCAGAATATAAAGGTCGATTATGAACAGCAAATTTTTTATCATTCTTATATATCTGAATCAATAAAAATGGCAACTCATTTTTTTTTTTTTTAACTAAAAGTTTTCGGAAAATAACTACGGTCAGTTTATTTACTAATTTCACATTTTTTATTCCTGAAATTTATAAAATAGGTCCAGTTAAGAAACAAAGTAATAATAAATAAATAAATAAATAAATAAAAAGAGAAAAAAAACCCAAAAAACTCTGAAAATATATAGTTCATTGAAAATGACCACTGAACTAACACGAAAATAATGATTTAAATTTTGTAAAAAAAAAAAAATTACACAAAAAAATAAGTTAGATAAAAAGCTGTTTTCCTTTATAATAACTTTTATTTTAAAATATAGCTAACCGTTATATGCAAGAAATTAGGTGTGCGTGTTTATTACAATTTAATTTGTACATAAATTCCAGCAACTCCTTCCTCAAGAAGGCTTTTCTCCTTTTTTACTTAAAAACACACCATTCTAATTTATTTCTCTTGTAGAACTGCATTTATCCCCTTTTAATAATCTGAAGGAATGCCAAGTAGTTTGATTAATATTACTACAATTTATTTTCTGTTCCATATTAAAAAAAAATAATCGTACAAGAAAGAAACGAATGAGTTTCACGAGTGAGTTTTATACTTCGATGTCAGCCATCTTACTTTTACTCTCCTTTGATAGATATATTTTTAAATTAATAGATATTCTACGAGCACTGAAAACACTCGATGTCGTCTCTAACAAACTAGAGAATAAATATCCTTTGATATTTATTCATTTTTAAGAAACGCCTCAACTATAATTTTATATATATATCCAATTTGTTTTAAATTCAGTCCACCAGCAACAATAAACAAGAAAAAAAAATAACAGTTTTTATCTTTCCGCCGTAGTTTCGAAACCACGACATAGCTTAAGAAAAAAAATGGAAGTAAATTAATTTAACTGTAAAATTGTTATCTAAATTCTACTGTTGGGATATGTATTTATTAAAAATAAATATAGTCAATGAAAGCTTTACGATATTAATTTTATACTAGCTCCAAAGCTTTTCTCTTTCGAAGCTGACAGTGAAGCTTTGTAGTAGCTGTTTGGTTAGTACCATTGAACTGTTTACACGAGGGAGAATATGTGTAGGTGTCTACTAAACAGTATAGTATGATACACAGGCCAGAAATGTAGGACATTTGGTGGAGATCGAATTCACACAGTTGTAATGTGTGTGAGAGTGAGTGTGCGTGTGTGTGTGTGAGAGAGAGAGAATGGTTTTTTAGCTGTAAGATAACTTATTATAAATAAATAAAAACAGTTTTTAGTCTCCTTCTATCTAAGGCTGTTCATTATCTATCTATCTATTTTTATCCATAAGGCTGTTCATTATCTATCTATCTATCTATCTATCTATCTATCTATCTATCTATCTATCTATCTATCTATCTGTGTGTGTATATACAGTGTAACCCGGATATAAGAGAGTTGTCGGGATCGGAGAAGAAATCTCTTATATCCGGGTTTCTCTTTTATCCGGGTTTGGTCTATTTTATATACATTAACACAGGCTCTAATTTGGGACTAGAGAAAATCTCTCTTATATCCGGGTTACACTATATATATATATATATACACCGTAGGCTGTTCATTTATATATCGTAGGCTGTTCATATCTATCTATCTATAGACATGATAGAAATAAAAAATGTTGATAAAAAGGCTAAAGGTCACAGCGATGGTCAAAAGAAAAATCTAAAACAGTTTTCAAATATTAACAACAATAACAAAAACTCTTTAATAATAATAATGATGATGATGATGATGATAAATAGCACTAATACCGCTGCTGCTGCTACTACTACTACTACTACTGAAGTACAAATTCTTTCTTTCTTACTTCTCTTGAAAAAGATGAAGGCGAATGTCAATGCTGATAATTAAAATTTCCTAGAAGAAGCCGACCCTGAAATCGGAGAAGCAGATTACAAAAAGGTGGATGAAAGTGGATTTTCTTTTCTTCTTCTTCTTCTTCTTCTTCTGTTGCTTGCAGCCAGGTATCATATTGGCATTTTCTTTTGCTCATTCATTCATCGAAGTTTATTTTTGCTTCATCTGGGGCAAAGGATAAAAAGGATATTTGAACATTCTAGGCATTTGTTGAACTCTTCTTGGAGACTGCGATGAGGCCAGGCACTGTCGTTCGCATATGTCAGTCTAAGTAAGCAGTATTCATCATTTTGAGAGGACAGAGGAAGATAGAGGCCGTGCAGATAGATAGATATGAAAAGATAGATCGGTAAATAGATAATGAACAGAATTAGATGATGAACAGAATTAGATAGAAATGAACAGAATTAGATAAATAATAAACTGAATTTGATAGATAATGAAGGGAAATAGATAAATAATTATCAGAATTAGGCTGATATAGATTTAGACAGACAGAACGATATGAACAAAAAAGTTAAAATAAAGAGATAAAAAATGTTATGGACCAAGGTTCAGTCTAAAAAAGTACAGCGAATAAGCGGAAACAGAGGTCTTTGGATTCTATCTCTCTAACTATCGTAGACTGTCTATCTATCTATCTATCTAAAGGCTGTTCATATTTAGGCTGTTCATATCTATCTATCGTAGGCTGTTCATATCTATCTATCGTAGGCTGTTCATATCTATCTATCTATCTATGGCTTGTGTGTGACTTTTATATAAATTCGTAGTTTATGAAAATAATTTTAAGATTTTAAAAGTCAATAAAATTTAAACAAAAAATATCATAATACATACATACATATATATATATATATATATATATATATATATATATATAATATATATATAAAATTTCACATAAAAAGATGTCAAAAATGGGACTAGGGAGTCTACTCAAGTGTATTGAACATAAATAAAACAAAAAAGAAATATGGGGTCTATTTATTTCGAATTGAACAGGCTGAGAATGTGAATGATAAGGGACGTGGAACATATCGGTGAAAAAAGGAGGAGTAAAAATTAAAAAGGTGATCAACCATTTGAGTTAAATGCCTTCGACCTTATTTCGTGAACAGCAACACACAATTAGGTTCTTTCAAGGCTTCTATATATTTTAAGTAATGTTTGAAAAAAATCAATGGTCGTGAGGCTTTCAAAATATCTATCTACCTATTTATCTTCCCAATAATTTTTTATTTGTATATATTAAATTAGATTTAAATATCAATTAGATAGATATCTCATCCTGTTTCAATCTCTGTATCCTTGTATTCCTATCTATCTATCTATCTATCTATCTATCTATCTATCTATCTATCTATCTATCTATCTATCTATCTATCTATCTCTTCCATTCTGTTTCCATCTCCGTATACTTATATTCCTATTTTTCTTACATAAATAAATGGACCTTATAAAGCGTCTTTTCTTGGATGTCCTTATATTTTGTGAAATTGATTTTTAGAAATCAAATTTAATTCCTTTGTTTACACATTTGAATGTTTAAAAAATAATGAAAGTAATCAACTTTGTTCACTATTTTCTTGCAAGTATTATGAATTTAAAAACTAAAGAAAGAAAATTCTTGCCCGTCTATAGTTATTCTTACAGATATGTGTAATAATGTATGCTAATATACAATTTGCATTCGTATTGTGAATATTTTTGTGAATGTGTGTGTGTGTCTGTGTAATGACGCAATGAATTCATGCAATCCTTTTAAAGCTGAGAAAAAAGAATCATTGAAAAAAAACAAAACAAAAAAAACTTTTCTTGTTCAACAAAAATAAAATTATGACAACAATAGCAAGTAATTAAATTACTATTATTAAAATAATGAGAAGACTACATTTTTGGGGGATTGTTTTCCAAGAATCATACAAAAACGAAAATTTCCTCTGTATATATATATATATATATATATATATATATATATATATATATATATATATATATATATATATATATAGAGAGAGAGAGAGAGAGAGAGGTAGGTAGTAAGTAATTGTAATAGATTGAAATAGAATAGAATAGAATAGAATAGATAGATAGATAGATAGATAGATAGATAGATAGATAGATAGATAGATAGATAGATAGAATAAGGAATTCAAATAAAGAAATAATTTTCATTTTTTCTTGATGAAAAATTCCAATCGCGCCACCAATACGTCTTAGGTATGTTGCCTTTTTAAGTGAGTCCTACATTTTAATTTGACTTTGGTACACCATAGCACCAGAGAAGAAATTAAAATGCCATCGTGTGGAAATTTGTCAGTTGTTCGTCATTGTGTAAGCATCACAGTCACACATAGTGGCAACGTACATATAAAGCGACGTAGTAGGAATTAAAAGGCGGCGAGAATCATTTCCAAAAAAAAGAAGAAAAAAAAAGAGAAAAAAGAAAAGAAAAGAAATAATTGCGTATGTGCACAACAGCCATAGGTGCGCATGCAAGTGTGCGTAAGGGAAAACAATGTCGTTCGGGGGTGGGGGGAGTGAAATTAAAGAAAAAAAAACGTACAAAAACAACAACAAAAAGTAGATGACATGAAACAGGACTAATTAATTTTAGTAGGAGTGATCTCACTTCGATAGGCTAGTAAAGTAATCAGTTTGAAATGGGCGTATATGAGATCTCATCGCATTGGGTGGAATTAAAAGCAATATATATATATATATATATATATATATATATATATATATATATATATATATATATATATATATATATATATATATAAAAGTGTTTCTTTTTCTATCGAGTGACTTAATTCTAAAAGTCTATACATTCAGGCCACTCTCTGACGTTGAAGACCCTTAAATAAAAGCGGTTAAAAGCAGAGAAAAACAACTTTAAAAAGATTAAAAAAATAAAGTTTATATAATTTTTTTCAACTATTGATGCAAATGTGGACGCATAGAATGACTGGTTTAGATATATACACACATTGTATGTATATGTGTATGTATGTGTATGTATATATATATATATATATATATATATATATATATATATATATATATATATATGCATGTATCTACATATATTTAAGAACAGTAAGGAACTAAAATCTGAATGAAAAACTGACATTTAATGAAAGATGAAAAATACACACACACATATATATATATATATACACAGACAGACAGACACACACATATATATGTGTGTGTGTGTGTATGCATATTTATACTTATATATGCAAGTATATATATATATATATATACACATATATATATATTTATATCTGCATGTATATATAAATATACATATTTATGTATGTATATATATGCATGTATATATAAATATGCATTTATATATATACATATATATATATATATATATATATATATATATATATATATATATATACATAAATAAGGGTAAAAGAAGGTATATTTGAATTTTACACACACAGATATATATATATATATATATATATATATATATATATATATATATATATATATATATATATATATATATATATATATATATATATGAAGGGACTAAGTGATTTCTGGATGGTACGTTTACGAAACTCTGGAGTCAGGATGCTAAAAAAGTAACGTCAATTAGCCTGTAACAAATTTTCTATTTGTATTATATTTGTATTTATATATAAGCTATGATAAAATTTAAATTGTATTCTTAATTCTCTCAACCCAACAACCGAAAAATAATTTAATTACAAAAATATCTTACATCATGGTAAGAACTTCTTTTTTCTTCGGATGCATGTCCTTTGGAAATGTTCAATGCAGAAATAGAATCTCAAATTTTAAAACGAGATGATTTTAAAAAGACACTCTCTCCATCCCATAATATTGCCTAAATTCTACACCGAGTGAACATAAGAATTAAAATGCGATTTTAATGAGAGATTTTCTTTTTTTTTCTTTTTTATGACGACAGATTAGAATTGGATTTTTAAAAGACGATCTTCTTAATTTAGAGAGCAGTTAGATGTCTAACGTTTACAAAAATAAAAACAGATATTTTTTTTCGTATACATTTTGAAGATCTTACAAAAAACGAAATTGAGGAAAATTCTAGAAACTAACTTGGCAATTTTAATTCATACGACTAAAAAATAATGTAAGTGTAGAATTTTAAATAAATATTTAATAATAAATATTAATTTTAAAGTGTTAGTTATTCGATGAAACAATATCTTCCCATGGTCATTTTTCTACAGCTGAATTCTATGGTTAGGGTTCATCTTTGTAACCGTATAACTGAAAAAGTGTCAATAGTTTATCTAAGTCGCCTAATAAATAAATATCTTAATAAAAATATTCTCAAAGTACAGGGTAGTCTGAAAGTACTGTCACTCCTAATCTTCTATTTCAGATGGTTGACACAAGCTCCGATAGTTTGGAAGAGAGATAGTGGATGACAAGACTTTCAGACCAGCCTGTATATTCTATATTAAAAAAAAAACAACAACAAATAAACACACAAACAAACAAAAAAAATCACTACAGACAACACACCAATTCTTGGCTAACGTTGTCAAAATTTTAAAATAGGGTTTTTGTTCTCTGCCTATTTTACTTTTTTTTAGGTTTTTGTACGTATCGAGTATCGACAGTTCGATAGTTTCTTAATAATTCGTAATTAATTGAAATTCGTATCCACCAGAATATTACAAACACATTAAGGGTTAAAAAACAAAAAAAAAAAAAAACAAAAAACAAAGCAGACATCTTTCAAATAAAAATAAAATTAATAAATAAATGAGTTCAAACTTTTTCCGTTTTTTTTTTGTTTGTTTTGTTTTTTGTTTTACCTTTTGTGTGTGTGTGTGTGTGTGTGTATGTGTGTGTGTGTGTGTGTGTGTGTGTGTGTCTCGACTTTTTCCCAGGATTTTTTTTTTAAGGATTAAATACCGAGGGATATTCATTTCTAACCCCGAGGACTTTAATCAGTTCTGGTCACCGATAATTATACTTTATTCATATTCTCATTAATTCTGTTTACGATTTTCTGTATGTTGATAAGTTCTCAGCCCTACTCACTTCTCAAAACTTGACCAACTAACAAAACATCAGATTTTTTTTATGGCAATTAAGGCCAGGGGCTTCTTAGAAAAAAAAATGTTTATCATCTTAGGTTTATGCAGGATCCTCGAAAAAAAATTTCGCCGTTTTAACTTTTGTACATGTTAGATTTCTAACTGCTCTCTAAAAGATCTTAAAAAAAAATCCAATTCTAATAATGCCGTTATAAAAAAGAAAAAAAAATTATTTTTGTATTCTCCATTATAACTCGTCAGCATCTTCCCAAAAATGTACGTTCATATATGTTAAAGAATAGACATTTCAAAAAAATATGTATAAATTCTCTATACTGAAAAATTTATACATTTTAATTTGCAAATGTCATAAAAGCGTAAAACTCAAGGTCGAGTATAAACTTACGTTTGTGTGTGCGTTGCGCGAAAAACATTTACAAAAATACGCACACAAGAATTTATGCATATAAAAAGCCAGATATATATTCAATTTCTCTGTCAAAATGAATTTCACAAAAAGATCAAAAATTGTTTTCACACGATTAATTTCCTATAAAAAAAAAATAGATAAATAAATAAATAAAGGATTGATTTAATTAAAACGGCTGTTCATCAACAAGTAAAAGTACCAAACGAAACAAGCTCTGGAATTAACTAGAAGTTTTTTTTTTCTCGTAAAAATGGACACAACAAAATCTGTCCTATTTCTTCTCTGTGGACCTTCAGATTTTCTCGACGAATGCTTGATTCAGGCGCTTTGTGACTATATAAACATGTTACGTGGCAAGTTTTCTCTGTCTGTTTGTCTATCTATCCATCATAGGTTGTTCATCTCTCTCTCTCTCTCTCTCTCTCTCTCTCTCTCATTATCTATCTATCTATCTATCTGAGGCTGTTCATATCTCACTCTCCCTATCTATCGGAGGCTGTTCATATCTATCTATCTATCTATCTATCTATCTATCTATCTATCTATCTATAGGCTGTTCATATATCTAATTTTCAATGTCAATATTTGTTTAATTTCTATTTTCTTTAGCAATCTATGGATGTGGGTCAATAAGTACGTGACATCAATTAGCTGTATATATTGTTCGATATATATGTCATTAATTTGTATGTATGTATGTAGCTATTCCACCACATCTATCTGTTTCCATTTATTCATAAACTGGCGCAACTACACTCAAATTCTTGTAAAATAATACATTATTTTATATCTTTTTCTCGCATCGACCAAAGGAAACCATTTCATTTTCAAATCATAGCGATACAAACAACACTAAAAGTCGTAACACAATCACTATCACAACTCGCTGACTTCAAAAATAGCGAATAATTTACGAACAATAAACTATATTAATTAAAAAAAATGTTGTTTTTGTTTTGTTAATTTAGAATTATTCATATTGTTATCTTATTTCAGTAGTAATTTGGATAAAAATTATTTTCCAGAATTTGATTGTTGTTTTAAATTAACAAACGCTTTTTCCATCAAATCCTTTTTGCTGTGTCTCGTGAAATGCATGTTTTTTCCGTTTTTTTTTGGACAGTATCTGGATTATTTCAAGTATATATACTTTAATTTTCATTTATAAACACACACACACACACACACACACACACACACACACACACACGAAAAATTAAGGAAAACAAAAAAAAACTAATACACACATACGCCCAGGAGCTCTGATATCTTTCCAGTACGATAGCAGTTTATGTTAAGTACTGGAAAAAAAGTTGTTAATTTTGTATTTTTAACCAAAACTTTGTAAAGTATTACTAAGAAATTCATCTCTAATTTTTTTTTTTTTTTTTTAGATAATTTTACGACTTCTTTTTCAAACTAAAACCATTTTTATTTGCTTCGGTTGTTCGTATAGAAAAGACGCATAAAAAAAAAAAAGAAAAGATTTTTAACCAAAATTTCGGACGTGTTAAAGGATTAATAAATAATTAAAAAATACTTTGGTCTTCCCTCTTAATAATAACATAAACATTTTAACGAGAAAACTTATTATTTACTTATTTAGTCTTCATTAAGTTTAGGTCCTTTTTTCGTTATGCTATGCTGTGTTTTAGCGAAAAAGTGGAGGTACCTACAACCCGGATAATCGTAAAGAAAAAGATATAAGCTAAGCATAATATAACTCATAATGTACGCACACATACACACACACACACGCGCGCACACACACACACACACACAAAAAAAAAATGAATATGTTCACAAAAGGGTATTTCAGAGTTTTCAGACCAAACAATAAATCTTCCAAAAAAGGAAAAAAAAAAAAAATCTGACGTTTCGTCCTTTGATCAGATTCTAAGAATTGGATGAAGAACCTTCGAACTTTCTCCCATACACACACACAAACAAATATAGAGGGAAGATAAAGGCAAACGACAGTTACACTTACCCCCACCTATATATATATATATATAATTGCATCAATAAAGAATATTACTTTTTTTAGTCCGATGAAGACCTTGTACAGAGTAGGAAACGCGTTATATCGATTTTTTTCCTTTTGTCAGTCAATTCCTTGACATTGATAATCTAATATATATAAATCTATCTATCTATCTAGAACATACATTTATAAGGAATAAGAATTCTGTCAAATACGCGATTCAAACTTATGCCAGATTGCGTGTGTGTTGCCATATATTGTAGCCTAATGTTTACTGCTGATTGGAGACAAGGCAACAATGTTTTGTAAAATAATTTTCTCTTTATTTTCCTCCAAGGTAAGAAATGTTTTCAGTGAGTATAAAAACATCACGCGGGAAAAATATTGATTCGAATACACTTGGTAATTTCAAAACCATCGCATATAAATTCTTGTTCATGAATATAAACAAAAGATTATATATATATATATATATATATATATATATATATATATATATATATATATATATATATATATATATATAAATAAATTTGTTTGTGTGTGTCCTAAAAATGAAGCTCACACAAACAAAACACCCGTTATATAACGTATAAAATCGGAGAAAATGAATAAAAAAAATTGAACCTTGCCTGTCAAAGATTTCTTCCAATATATACATACATACAAACACATATCTTATCGTAATTGACAATGTGATAAAATTATGTAACGTGTTTCGTTACATAGAATTTTTTACATTATCATATATACACGCACACACACACACATAGATAGATAGATAGATAGATAGATAGATAGATAGATAGATAGATATTTTTTAATCATTTCACTTGAATCAAGGCGATAATGTCACTAAGACACTTAGGAGTGAGAGAGAATGAAAAAGCTTTAGAAAGAACTGGAAACACAATCCTAAACAAGAAACTAGGTATATAAACCCTTACATTCAATTGACGGGGAAGGAGTGTGAACCGGGTGATAGGCGCACCTATCTGCTCACGTGTTCATGAAAATAAATGAATAAAACATAAAGAAAGAGAAAAAAGATTAAAATTGTATACTATAAAAATTACTAAAATATACGTGTATGTGTGTGTGCTTCTGTGTGTATGCACGCGTGTATTTCTATGTGTATACGCGTGTGTGCATGACATAGATAGACTGTAATGTAACAAACAAAAAAAAAGTTATTTTTCGAAAGAGATCTTACGATTAACAAAAATTAGACTTAGTGCCTCGCCGTGGAACAAGGGTTAACACAGTAACAGGCTTGTCTCGTAAAGCATTTAGTATGTTCGACCCTGTATCTGATTGTTTCCACGTGACGTCTTTTATAATTTAATATTTTTATTATCATCAATAAATTTATGCTTAAAATGTAATCGTAATAAGATCGTATATAATTTCAAAAGTCTTCATTTTAAACTGTAAAAAAAACAAAAAACAAAAAAACAAAAAAAAAACATATCGAACTCTTGTTTTAAATTTTAATACTTTCAAATTTTAAAGTACAAAGAGCGAGATTTTTTTTTTATTGCAAAAAAACCCAGATTTATTTCAAAGTTTAAATAAAGTGAAACATTGTTTTAATTTAAAATAAATTTGCCTCCTAAAAATCTAAGCTTCACTTTATACTTTAAAATATGCTAAAGTTAGATTTTAACCTGAGACTTGTCCTGTTTATAAACACATGAAAAATAATTAAAAATTACTTTGTTCTTTCCTCTTAATAAAAACGTAAACATTTAGACGATAAAAAGTTATGTTTTCGTCAAGTTTAAGGCCGTTATTATCCTGCTATGCACATTTTCCAGCGATCTCATGTTGGCACCTAAAATTTTATGTTATTAAACAATATAATATAGAGAATTAGACTATTATGTTTATATACATACATATATATATAAAACTAAAAGGCTCAAAATATTATATACATACATATATATAAAACTAAGGCTCAAAATATTATATACATAAAAGGCTCAAAATATTATATACAAAAGGCTCAAATACTAATATTCCATGGTTATAATTTATTACATTGGAATCGTAATCACGATCCAATTCATGAGACCTACAAATTCAAAACACTTTTTTGAATTTGTAGGTCTGATGATTTGGATCGTGATTACGATTCCAATGTAATAAATAATAACCATGGAATATTAATGTTTGTGCCTTTTATTCTTACTCTGTCCTGGACATTGAGTTCTACCTGGATACTATCTTCTTGGGAATTTATGTAGGTATTAATTGACCACTAATATTATCCATCTATCTATCTATCTATCTATCTATCTATCTACACTTATAAACACTCACATATACAGACACGCACACACATATCCAGGTGCGATGAGAACGAATAGAGTACAATTCAAAGCTTCATAACATTTAATTTAAAAGAGGCTCAATACAAAGTAGAGTAATATTATTTATTTTAGGATATTACATAGAAAAACGTTCAAATCTCCATGTTTTCGATGTAACACATATGTGTGTGTGTGTGTATTTATGTAAGCAGGTTAAAGATTTGAAAAGCTAACGATATTTTTTTATTTTGTGTTTATAAAGGCATGTTACAAAACAAAATTCTTAAATTTACCTTGAATTTATCAAGGCGAATTTAGGACGAAACGCGTTGGTAAAGAAAAGATTTCCTTTTGTCTTATTTTTTATTGTCTTTTTACAGATTTATCTGATTTTTTTTAATATATGTATTATATTAGTTAAACGTTATTTTTTAGTGTATATTCTTATTCGAATTAACGTTCCTTTTATTTATTAGTGCCAGTAGACGAAATTAAATAAACATACTGTTGTTTCATAAATAAATGTACCTTCTAAGTCAAATACGAAAAATCACTAAAAATCGCGTTAGTAATAGAAAATCTGTTGGATTAACATAAAAAATCTAATCTAACACACACACACACACACACACACACACACACACACACACACACACACACACACACACACACATATTTTTTATCGTACAAAGGGTAACAAAGCTAATAAAAAATTGTTCATTTGGTATTTTTGGATTGTTTTAAGCTGCCATATTTTTTCGGTCTGTTTGCCGTTTGCTAGACTATTTCGCTAGTAACAACAGCCCTTAGAAACGATCTAACACTATGCATATTAATTAAATAATGAACTAACAATTAAAAGAAACAAAAAAAGAAAAAAAAGTGTCCCCACCACCGTCAATAAGGTCCTTTGTACGGAAAGGAGTTTGTGAGCAAAGTAACAGGTTGTCGTTCAAGTCGGGGGAAAAAAATGACATCGTCCGCGAAAGGAGCGACGGAGCGGGTACTAACATCACTAGCCAATGGCGGGGGATCTCTCTCTCTCTCTCTCTCTCTCTGTTCTCTCTATATATATCTCTCTCTCCCTTGGACACACACACAAAAGCGCGCACAGGCGACGATAGGAAAAAAAAGCGAAAAATCATTTATGGAAAATAGTGGGGGAAGAAAAGAATTTTTTGTTTTTGTTATTGTTTCAAATTGAACAGACGAGAAATATTTATAAACAATTTTTTTTTTAAATTGAAAACCAAATACACTCAAGTGAACA